CATCCATCCATCCATCCATCCCGATTTCTCCCTTTCTCCATATATCATTTGATCGTTCACGCTCTCCGTAGTTCCCCAGTGGCATGAGCAGAGGGTGGCTGTAACGCACCGTTAGCGAGCATGCGCGTTTCCTGTTGCTTACGCGGTGAATCATGCCTCCTGCGCTGTGCGGAGATGCCGGGGAAACCGTATCTGATGGGGAAACGCAGCTCGATGTAACACCGGCATTTCCATCTGGAAACGCTCTTTTGCTGCTGGAGCCATCCTCACTCTCCATCTCTCTGTGTGTGCTGTACGTTAAAACCCGTAACAGCCAATCTCATCCTCCCCTCTCTCATGACAAGTCGCACACGAGTCCTATCATAAAAAAAAGGTTTATTGTGCGACCTGAGTAACGCGCAGTAACGGGGTGTCTGCAATGGTAACTGTGTTATAGTTACAGTCAAAGTACTTAGATTACTCGTTACTAAAAAAAGGTAACAGCGTTAGTAACGTAATGAACGGGAATGAGAGCATAATGAGCCACATACTTAGCTCACGTTCGGGTTCAATTGATAACGAAACTTTTCATTGCATAACTTCAGGTTTTACAGCAGTTATTACGGCAAACAGCATTACAGACCAGCATGTCTACTGCTAGTACTAGTCTGCCTGATTCAGACTCATCTACTGGTATTTCTGATGCCAGTTTTAAAGATCGCTTGGCAGAGTTTTATGAACTAATAAAGGAAGAGACGGCAGAAAAGAAATTCACGTTTTTGTGCAAACTGTGCCCACCGGGACTTAAGAAACAAATCCGTACGTCAGCCACAGCCACTTCAAGTTAAAGCATCCAAAGTATCTTGGGAAATATCTGCTACTGAATGAGGAATGTAAGAAATAATTTTTGATACAGATCTTTTCAGCAGAACCTGAAAGTACCCATCTGTTTCTGAAGTTCTGTGTAAAGGTATTCACTGCACATACAGTATACATTGACAGAATTGAGTATTTTTCATTTCTTTTTATATATAATGATCACACATTTAAAGGGTGGAATATAAGGTTCTATTGTGTAGGATTGTGGCTTAATTTACCAAATGAATTTGAAGTACATTCTTTATAGGTCTTTGAACTTATTTTTTGAAAAAGTGAAATGTGCACTTGAGCCAGTTAAATTTCGTCTTTATTCATTTATTTAGTAGAAGTCATAGCCTTAGAACGAGTGAATGTTCTAGTGGGCTATGGGTCACTTGTCTTGGGAGACTAACTGGCACTGATTAATCATGGCATCCTCTCCCTGAGAGGTTTTGGGAGCTCCTCTTTTTCACCACGGGGGAATTCTAGGGGATCCTTTAATAAGATCTTTGCTGTGATCGGATGTAAGTGTCGGGACAAACAGGATGCCAATCAGCATGGGGGCATTTGCTTAGGGATGTGAGTTGCGTTGCCCAAGTGAAGATGGCAACACAGCCCACTTCAGAACTCGTGTGAAGTGTTTTTGGCAGAACGTCAATTTATAAAAGTAACTAGTCATAGATACTTCTCCAAAGATGTAACTGCTCTAGTGACTCGGAACTCAATCAAAGTCATTAATTAGTCG